GCTACATAAAACTACCACTCAGAAGATTTACTTGCTCACATGCTTGATAAAAACACCCAAAAACAAATAAAGCCACAAAAACTTAACATGTATGACTGTTTTGTCAAGGAAAACATCATCACTTTTACAAGCATAACTGTCTAGTAACTCTACCTTGCAAAGGTGAAAATTCAAACATACTATATTTATGAAAAGAAAAAGCCAATTGCCACTACCTTAAAGTCAAAAAAACACTTGCATTCACTTTCTGAAACTGATGATATTTCAACAATATTTAAGGTTGATGTATAAGTACAGATAACTTCAAATGTGTTCTTACAAAACAGGATATAGGCATTCCTTTTTTTTATCTGCAGACCTCTATGTGTGATAGCAAGTGGTATATATTCTTGAGAATAACATATTCTTTACTATGTTATCATAATACATATATAATATATATATTATAACATAACATATAGCAGTAACATAGTCTTTTGAAATTAGAATCCTTGCTGTGTTATGAATAAAAATACTTGTCTTTAGCTGATATTAAGAAATAATTACATAATCTTTTGTTTTCTGAGCATATTTAACCTTTCTGTATTATTTCAACCTTGCTTATTCTTCAAGAGAAGAGCAAAGGATTGTTTCTATTACATAAATACTTCAACTGCATACAGCCTCATTCAAGGCTACACATTATATTTGACAGATGCTAATTAATTTTGAGTTTATTGACTGGCAATGAAATTTTTTCAGCTGCATATGGTTTTGTGAGTTTAAATAGCACAATAAAAGTTTGGGAGCACTGAGGCAGCACCCAGATTTGAGAGCTACCATTCACACAGGTGTTCACTGCTGCCCCCTGCCCACATGGCACCCCCAAAGCCCCACAGACACACTGTGGCTGCTTCAGCCTGAGCTCGCTTGTCCTCCTGTGCTGGCAGGAAAACTGACAGGCCAGACAGAACAGACAATTGCTGAATTCATATTGCATCACTTCCTCAACAGGGTCAGTAATGTGTTTTCCTTTCCTCTTCCCAGTCACCAACTTCCATGAAAATGACAGAACTTTAATGCCTTTGCAGCCATTGCTCTCTAATTTGAGAAGATTTGCAGGTACAGAATTATTTGGGGTCACAGGACAGCAGACCATACTACATATACCTGACAGGTAGCTAGACCAGAAGAGGTGAGAAAACAATCCTGGAAATTGCTCTCAGTTTTGGAGCAAAACTCTCTTCCAAGACTGATCTGGACATTTGCCTGCACTACCCCCTAATTCTTGCAGACATCTTAATGGCAACATTCTTCCTGAATAAAGAGCTATTGTTTTGGAACAAAATCGTCAATCTAAAAGGAAAAGGAAAAAAAGAAAAAGATAAAATTACTTAATGCAAAAATTTGAAAGTTGTGCTTAACATATTGATTTAAGACTGTGAAAAGTTACATTTGAGTCTCACCTGCCATTTAATGATTAGGCCTTGCAACCTCCCATTTTTAGCAGGACTAAATTTTGACTGGATTTTGACTTAGACAGATACAACTCCATCTGACAAACTCCCAAATTTTGCCACACTGATTTCATTACACATGTTCTGCTCAGAAAAAATAGAAATAAAAAAAGCCCATGACTTTGCATCTGTACCTTTTCCTACAAAAGCTCTCTTCCTTAAGACCAGTATTCCTTTAAAAGAGACATGAAGTCTCTTATTTTTCTCTTTTCATTTATAGCTTAAACTTATAGCTTGGGCTCCTTATTGTTTTGGCTCAGGACAAAAGACCAGTTACTTTGGTATCTGGTACTGCAATTTTTGCTTCCAAGATCAATAACAACAAAAAATATGTTTCCTCCTCAAGAATACCTCCTTTCAGTCACCAGCTCACTCCCCCAAATCTCAGGTTACAGTCCTTTTCAATATTCTTAATATTCTTTCAGCTCTTATCCCTGTCCTCTATCACCCACATGAGCCCATCCCCAAATCACCTCCTTCACTCCCTTGGTCCTCCAGTCTCCTATCTGAGCTCCTCCAGCATCTGCACAGCTGCACCCGCCTCACCATCTGCAACTCCTCGCATGATTCATCACCAAACATAACAGACCAGGATTATTCACTGTTTGAAAAGCTGCAGTGGAATTTACATCTGGTTCTGGAAGACATTCAAGAAGCCTGAATTCGCCTTCTTAGCAGAGAACACCACCACTGTGTATTTTCAGTGGTTTTATTTCACTGATAAACTTTATTCCCTTGTGCAGACATAATAACATGACTTATTTGATAAATTAAATTCAGCTTAACAGAGAGATTTATATCCTTTAGAAATAATGATCCTCAGAAAAAATATTACAGATTTATGCCTCTTCTGCTTGCAAGTGTCTTTTTGAAAATTGAGTACAGTTTTTATACTCTTTTACCTGCACACAGAAGTCCAATGTCTTCTGTAACTAGCACCTGAAGTTGTGCAGTTTAGCTCTTCTTTATTGTGCTACAATTTTACTCATTCATTAGAAATGTTTTTACAGGCTCTTGTTGCTCAGCTATTACGTTTAAGTAAATAAACAAATGAAACCTGCTAAAAATAAACTAACTTCAATTTAATGTCATGCCACAACTCAGAGTGGAATGCGAAACAAAATTCTTTCACTTTTTCTTGCTGGGTTTTTTTGTTGGTTTTGGTTTGGTTTTCTGTTTTTGGGGTTTTTTTTCTGTTAAGAAAAAAGCCTTCAGTTTTATTCTGACAATTCAGACATCCCTACCTTTAAAAATTTTTCTTTGTGATAAATGTATCGCACAAAAACAAAGTTTACACTGAGTTAGTGTTACTGACAGGAGCCTTGGCAACAGGCATGAATGCAATTAATCTACATTTTTTGGCAAATGGACATCAAGTACTTGTACTTGCAAGCTCCTGACGTGTCAGATAGAGGATATACTTGGGACACATGACTTCACAGCTCTAAATCAGGTCACTCACTACAGTATACAGATCACAAGCCTCACACTCCTGTGTGATCAAAAAGTGGCAAACTATACCCAATTATTTTCCTGCCATGTTTTCCCTGCTCATCCTCTATGATGTGAAGGGTATCTTGCGCCCAGTTCAACAGCAATGCCAGCACTGCTGCACATCTGCCACCCCACTCCTTTTAACCAAGGAAACATCTGAACTGCAGGAAGGTGGAGGAAGACTATGAGTCCAGTGACACAACCAGGAAAAGATAACCTCTTTAAAAAGCCACTTTAAAATGTACTTTCATATTCTAGTTTTACTTCATTTTGTAAGGCATTTCAGCTGCCTTGAATCAGACATTGAAAGAGCAGTTATGGGGACACAGCACACAGAATCTCTCTGAAGTACAGCTGAGTTACTGGTTGCAAAATAAGGTTACCTTAAGGGTACCTGGATAAGTCAGCTTAAGTAACATACATCAAAAGGCTTCAGTAGCTCCCTGGCACTGCCGGCCCCGCACCTTCGCTGTCCCTCTGTCCTTCCAGCCACGCTGCTCCTCAGTGCCTGCGCTGGCTCTGGATCCCGCTGGCCGCCTCTGGCACCGTGAATGACCCGGGCCAGAGCTGCCCCGGAGCCTCCCCAGCCCGACAGGCTCCCGGGAGAGCCCAGCCCAGGGCTGCACGCTGCCCTGCCTCCTGCCACCCCGACACCCCGGGCCAGCCCCCGGGAACAGGCCCTGCACAGCTTTGTGTGAAACAATTCCATTCACCGAATCGGTAACACGGGAAAACCACGGACAGCTACAGAGAGCTGAACAGACCCACTGAGGGCAAACAGGATGGGTAGAGGAGTATGGATGGGAGAGGGAAAGAAGGAACCTGGATCAGACCCAGCCATGGGTAGCCACATTTCTTGATGTAGCCTGTCTTTGCAGGGCTGTCAGGAACCACAGACAGAGGACATCCCATTATTTTTTCTATGATTTTTTCCATTTAAAATACATCAAACTCTATATTTTTCTCTATATATTTCTGTGTTCATTCATACACACACACACTCCCCCTTGCCATGCAAAAGAGAAATAAAAGGAATGATAGCTGCAAGTGGAACAATTCTATGTTCTATAGAGCATAATCACTATTACATTTCCAAGGGATTTATTACAGCATTTATAACCTTGAGAAAATGCAACTCCTTGTAAATTTGGTTAGAATGACACCAGCTCAGTATGCTGAAAATCAGGTGCCCAGAACTTGCATTTATGCTGAAAATTTGACAGCTGTTTGAAAATATTGGCCTGTTTATGCACAGATTCATCTGTACATCTCCAGCACAGAAGAACAGGTACAGCTGCTGCTTTGCTCCGAGGCAGTAACCCTGTGCTGCTTGTCTTACTTATCCAGGCACTAAAGCTTGTCTCTTACTTACATGGGTACCAAAGCTGCCACCTGGTTTCATCACACTGGCCTGCCTGACTGCACACAGCATGTCCTTTACCCTGGGGTGGGCAAGAATGTATAAACTTCACTTGTTTTATATATATATATATATATATGTAGTCATTTTGTAATCTTCCACTGAAAACTGCCAAGGAGCCAACAGTACTCACCATGACCCGCGGGCTGCAATTAATTGTATTTTAACATCAGAGTATTTTAATTAATTGTATTTTAACATCAGGAATTAACTGACAGCTGTACTGGAGGATTCCTCTGCTCTGTTGGACAGAATGCCACCAGGCACTAATAAACAAGAGCCTCCAAAGCAGTCTCCTGACACAACACCCACCTTCTCCCTCCTCCTCCCCTGCAGATCCAATTGGTTCCACATTATATTCTTCAGCCTTACTACTCCAGGGAACACTTTCCATATGTGTTGAATAAAAATGCCAGAGAGTTTGGTTTGGTTTGGTTTGTTTAATGGGAGCCTGCCCCATGACTCCAGTGTCAGGTACTTTGTACCATTCTTCCTGAAGCAGTAACACTGACAGCAGGTTAGCAATCATCAGCAATTCAAGTCTTCACTTTCAAGTGAGGTTTTGCAAATAAGACATGAGCTGTTCTTACCTCCTGAACATTCATGTTCAGTGGTTTGTTCTGTGATTTGTTATGTCAGTAAATTCCTGTAAATAATTTTTAAAACAAAACAGGCATGTTGCTCTTATTGTGTCACAAAGCAAAGAACAGCAATACCAGCCTATATTCAGGTAATAGAACTTACTCAGAACAACAGTGCTGGATGCATGGATATACAACAAAATATACATGGATATACAACAAAACAGTAAGACCTGCCTCCAAATCTTAATCACAGGCTGTAGAATAGCTTCAAATGATCCACTTTTATGATTTTTTTGTTGTTGTTGTTAAATGCAAATAATACTAAGTCATTGCAGTATTATTTTTCCATTTAAAATACATCAAACTCTAAACCATTCACCACGAAAAGTTCTCTCAGCTCCAGGATGTTACACACTCATAAATGAGTAAGGATTTGCTCAACCAGCACACCAAACAGCAGCTCTGGTTTCCTTCTATGTACTTCTCAACAAAATGAAAACAAACTAATGAGATACAAAAATATGAAATATGAAAATATTGGACTGACTTGCTTTCACATGTATTTCATCTGCCTGGAAACAGGCCAAAGAACTGTGCTACCTCAGTACAACTTCAGCTTACTGCTCTGAGTTCCTCAAGGCAGACACATTTTGGAACAAGTTTCTTTTACTGTTTGGAAAGATTTAGTGAATAATTTATCAGTTTATGCAGCTTTTAAAAACCATGACAGCGTACTATCACTGTATCTATTTTTAGAAAGGGATAGGTAATTTGCCAAATGCTTGCCAATCTCTCCTACTCTTAGTGTTTCCACAGGCACGAGACAACCTGAACTTAAAACAATAAATTTAGATAAATATAGCACCACAGAACAAACTATGCCTCTTTGGTAGTTTACATCTTTCCAAAGTATAAAATATTTTAACACCATACCCACATTTTAAGACTTAGCAAAGATGCACACAAAGCAGTCACGTAACAACTGAAGCCCCAGTCAGGATTAGAGTGCCAAGGAGTTGTGGTTTATAATTCATAGTAATCTGTGCACGAGAAGTCCTTCACTGGATACAGAAATTATTACACTTCTTAGATATTTAAAGACACATGCAATGCACTTATAAATAAATATTGTTTCATAAGCAGAAACTATGAGAAGTGGTATGAGGAAGTGGAGTCAGATTTGGCAACATCTCAATGCCACATGCAATCTGGTCACACAACAGTCTCCTCAGATTACTTGAGTATCTTTAAAACATGTTGAATATCACACTCTTGGAGAGATTTTAGTTTTGAGGATTGTGATGATTAAGAATCTAACCTTACCAGGCTTTCTACTCCAGTGAAAAATTCAGCCTTCTACTTCATAAAATGTCATTCAATATTTAATTTAACAGACCTGGTCCTCTGAAATGCTGAGCACTCTACTTCTAAAATATTAAGAATTCAGAATTCAACTGACTAGCACCTAAGACAGCAGTAGAAAACAGACTATAAGGAAGTTTTACTTTGTTCTCCTGATTGTGCTACTGTTTTCTGTTTATCAATTATTTATTGCCACTACATGCTCAGATTTCTTTCCTTGTCATTTGACTATTCATTAATCACTCTTTACAGAGATTCTATGCCCAGTCCATGTATGTACTTACCCCTTCAAGCAGCATCTTGCAAGGCTGAAACAGAAGTTGTTTTCCAGAATCTCTTCCCCTTCCATTTCATGTGCAGATTGGTGATAACAAGCAGTTCTTCATCAATAAAAGTCTGCTGACATTCTGAAAAAAAAAAAAAAAAGTCAATAAAATTTCCCAGGGCTTAAAATACTTATTTTGCACAGCTATGATTAATATAACTTAAGAAAAATAATTCTTTATGCTTCTTCTGAAAAAAAAAAAAGCTTTCATTTCACTTGGGTTAAGATAATTTTTTTAAATGACTGAATTTTTTTAAATGACTGAATTTTTTTAAATGACTGAATTTTTTAATATGCCCCTAGTTTTACAGCAGGACCACACTGACATCTAGCTAACTAGGAAATATAACTGGTATATCCCAATATAATCTGGATCTTTTTTCCTTCATACTGAAAGAATCCAAAACCATCCAACTGAGAACACTGTAGTGATAGCCCTGTGCTATTTTAATTATCTGTTATAGAGTGAAATAATTTACTCCTAAAGAGCATTCTCACAAAGTCTTTCTGTGAACACATTTAGAATAGTTATAGTTTCCAAGGTGCACACACAGCCCCATGAGAGGTTTTTGCAATTGACCTTTATTTTGAGGATTTAAATCTCAAAGGTAGAGATTTTGGTTTTATGTACTTTATAAGGCCTATATATTTTTTTTAAAAGCATGCATAGCTAAAAAATATCACATTAGAGATGCAGAGAGATTTTGGAAAAGTGGATTTTAAAAAAAGGTTAAATTCCAAAATTATGTAAGAAAATATGGTTATACATTTAATGAATATGAAATCAACTTCATTTCTCTTCCAAGATAAGTATGGTGTTCTGTGGTTTTCCCCCTTGTAAAAATAAGACATGTGCAATAGAAGCAGAAGTCAGAACCCAAATCTCATCAGGAAAGCTATAGAAAAGTAATGACAAGAATAGATCTGTTTGCAATTTTGAAGTACAAGCTGCTTCTGAAAAAATAATAAAAAAAGTTATGGAACAACATTTTGGAACAACAGTGAGCATTATAATCCATTTTTTAGAATGAGATTAGTATTTTAGGCTATAATCCTACTCTCCTGTAGGATATTATTGTCCCTTATATTCTTATAACGCTCTGCACATGAAATATTAAAAGCATAACAACACAAAATCACAACTGAAGTGTAACCCTCTCTCCATGGTTTAAAATCCATGATACCCTTTGTGAAGAGTACAGTATTAACAGAAAATGAGGACACTGAAGAACTACTGAAAAGCAAGTGACAAACCCACAAGATGTTTCCAGTAGGCAGCCAGAACTTCCCATGCACCTGACTGTAGAGGATGATAGTCAATATAAGGCACCAACAGCTCAATAAGAATGTTTTTTTGGACCATGCTAAGAGTTCCTTCCAAACATGGGAGAAGAGAGCAAGCACACTGTCTGGGGAGTTCCACAAACCTCAGGCAAGATCTGCATACTCTCATTCTTCCAATACACTGCATTGTATTACTAGAAATTCCCAAAGTTGCCACTCAAAGTCACTACGAGCCGACGGCTGCTCGGTAGCTCAAGCCAGCCTACAAAAGTTTTGATGCTGGTTTAGGTTTAGCAGACGTGTGACCACATCACATGAACCACAAGTGCCTCAGTTCCAGCACGAGACCAGGTAGCAGCCTCAGTGCTAAGTCAGTGATTCAGGATTTACAAAGGAAATCGTTTTCACAGCTGATCCATTTTGCTGCCTGCAAAGCAAATTTTAATAGGTGAGCAGTGCCAGATGCCAATGAGAAAGTCTGTGCATGTTCTGTAATACAAGGAGTTTGACCACGATTTTCCTTCACAACAAAACTTATGCAACACCTTTATTAGTGCTACTAAGTACTACTAAGACACCCAATGCCAAAAGTGCCAAACATTATCATTCCAGATAATCCTGTGTGACGAATCCTGTGCTCATACTACTTCCATCAGAGAGCTCAGGAACGGCTTCCCGTGCCATTGAGCGAGACTGGGCCAATCTTAATATGAATACAAGGCAACACCTTTTCGCACTCCTTCCCTTTGTTACTTCTGGAATGCTTTTGGAAAAGCAAGTTCCCAGCCCCACGGGGACAACCAAGAAGGCGGCAGACCACAAAAGCGAGCCCCGGGGGCGTTCCCGGCGATCCGCTCCCGGGACATTGGACCCTCCTCTGACCGGGAACAGCCAAGCCAGCAGCGGCAGCCCCGAGCACGCACTCTCTGCCCAGTGCCCGAGTTCATTCCAGGTTCGGGGCAATCCAGATGTTCCATTCAGGACACATGACAGCTGCCAGCCAGCCCCTCGTGTGACAGCCCCTTCCCTTCTCTGCTCCCATCTCCAGCGCCCCGAAACCCCGCTCGCCCGGGGCTCCTCTTTACCTGCGCCGGGCCGGCTCTGCCCGTCCCGCAGCCCCCGGGCCCCGCTCCCGCAGCCGGGCGCCGCTACAGCATCTCCCGGGGCCGGCCGCCCCCTCCTGCCGCCGCTCCGAGGGCTTCACAGCGCGGGGCCGGAGCGATAAGTGTTGGCGAATAGCGAGGGAGGGGAGGAGAAGAAAGGACAGGTCATTAGCAAAGCCGCCGCCGCGCTAGCGAGCCGGGGGCGTCACCCAACCGCAGGCGGGCGCTCCCGCCTCCTGCCGGCGCCCCGGCCGGGACGCGGTCACCGCGCGGGCACAGGCCGCCCCTGAGGCAGTACCGTGCATCGCTGCCACGGGCTGCGCGGGGCAGGGCCGGGCCGAGCCGCGTCCCCGGCTGCCGGCGGGGAAGGAGCGGGAGCGGGGAGGGAGCGGGGAGGGAACGGGAGCGGGAGCGGGGCGGGAGCGGCCGGTGACAGGTCCCGGAAGTGAGGTCGGCACACACCTCCCGCCGCGGCCGCGCGCCATTGGCGGGGCGGGGGCGGCCCCGCTCCCCTCACACCCCTCACTGCCCTCACACCCCCCGCGCTCATTTCCTTCGCACTCTTTATTGCCTTCACTGCCCTCACACCCCTCACACTCTTCATTGCCTTCTTCACTCCGTTCACTGCCCTCACACCCCTCACTGCCCTCACACCCCTCACGAGCGCTCCTCATTTCCTTCGCACTCTTCATTGCCTTCACTGCATTCACTGCCCTCACACCCCTCACTGCCCTCACACTCTTCATTGCATTCACTCCGTTCACTGCCCTCACACTCCTCACTGCCCTCACACCCCCCGCGCTCATTTCCTTCGCACTCTTTATTGCCTTCACTGCCCTCACACCCCTCACACTCTTCATTGCCTTCTTCACTCCATTCACTGCCCTCATACCCCTCACTGCCTTCGCACCCTTCATTGCCTTCACTCTTTTCACTGCCCTCAAACTCCTCATTGCCCTCACTCCCTTCACACGCTTCAGACCCCTCGCTGCCCTCAAATCTCTCGCTCCCTTCAGACCCCTCACAACCCCCTGGCAGCGGTTTCTCCGTGCACCCGCATTGTTACCGGGACACGGGGCTGAGGGTTCGAGCCCGAGAGCCCGGGACGTTCGGTCAGGGCGCATAAAGCCCTGCCGGCCGGAGCGGCGGCCCGGCTGCCGCGGGCTCGGGGAGCGCCGCCCGCCTGAGGGCCGGCCAGGAGGGGCCGTGGCTGTGCCCATCCATCGCTCTACGAACTTCTCAAAATCATATAAGCGTGTATGTGCATTCACGTCTGTATTCCATGCGGGGAAAAAAAAAAACCTAACCAACCAACCAACAACAAAATTTAATCAGGAACCCCACTGAATTACTGAGTTGAGTAGTGAATGGCACAGTACTGGGATGATAAAAAAAGACTCACTTCAGATGTTTCCAATGGGAAGTTAAATGAGGCCTAGAAAGGGAAGAGAGCACTGTTTTGGGGGTTTGGTCCATACCTCAGTGAGCACCACACTTAATTCCATAAATTTCTCATAAATTTCGGTTTAGGACATTGCCCTAGACTCCAGAGCCCTCAGTGCACAAACAACAGTAACAGCAGAGGCTGAAAACCCCCCGAAGGATGGCTCAGGACCAGCCAGCAAAAGGCAATATTGACCATGGAAAACAGAAGCTAACTAAAAGCCTTATATTGATTTGAAGCATTTCAGACTGTTTCAAACTGGTTCTGGTCACAGTTCAACTTCTCAACCACTAGAGCTGCTCCACACTCTGTCCCAAGCTGGGCCAACACCCAATGCCACAAGAATCAGTTGATTTGGCTGGTTAATTCCCAGGTTTAACACCTACATGTTTCACCATGGGTGAGGTGACATGATGCAAGTGCTGCAGCACAATTTTCTAGAGTAAGGTGTTGGAATGGATGCCAGCTTTTGCCCGGGGAACATGCACGTTTTGAGGGACTTGCCACACTGCCAGTGAGAGGCATGCCAGGCTGACTCAGCTTTCTATCCACACCTCATCTTGTCCTGACTCACGCACAAGCGCTGTCCCAAAAGCAGTCAAACACAAAATATTTATTGGAATTCAAAATGAGCTGTGGGTTGTTTCCTGTTTATGAGCTGTGGGCTCCTCAGCCCACACCAAATGTAGCAAGCTCTGTCTGCAGCAGGGAGGGCTGTGTTACTCCAGGCATGGAGGAGAGCTCTCTTAACCCCTGTTCTGGAAGTGATTCTTTTGAATAACTTCGAAACATTTTGTCCATGAAAATGACTGGTGTTGCAGAAAGTCGTAAAGGAGAAGAATCTATTCCACACTTAAAATACTTGCACAGGAGACTGTAGTGATTCCTTTTGTACTGAAAGAGCTTTTAAAGTGTAGATTACTGACTGGATTGTGTAAATTTGTATCGCAGTTCAAATCTTAATCCCATACTAAATATAAAAATCCATTAGCTATTTAAATGTGCAAGCTTTTAGAAATCAGAAGCTAGATTATTTACTAGGTTTTTAGCTGGACTAACCTTCAATTAGTGTTATATTCTATTAATATGCAATAACCTTATTACAATTGCCTAACACTTGTGGAAGAAGCAGCCGTATTTGTGCAGTTGTTGATTTTCCATCTTTCCAGTAGCCAGCTGGCTTTGTCAGAGGCCTGCACAGCCACGCGCAGCATTTCTATCACAAAACATTTTCATTTGCAAAAGAGAAATGCCTTTTCATTTATTTAAAGGCCAGATATGGAGTCTCTCATAACAATTCTGTGGGAGCAGACGAGCAGCTCCCAGTCAGCGCAGACTCATTCACAAGTCTGGGAGGACAGACCATACCAGGGAGAATTGGCAGCGCCTTCACCACCTCCTCCAGCTACGGGCAGAATGCAGGAAGTGGGCTGATCCTGCACTCAAATATTTGCTGTGGTTTCTCTTGCTGATTTGATGGTAGAGATTTTAACAGACAATGGGCCTTGTTTTTGCTGGGTCATGGTGAAATGCTTCCACTCCAAAGTCGATAGAGCCATGGAGCCTTCCCATTTGAGTATTTATTTGAAGTGGGAACTGCAGAGAGCCGGTATCGTAGCCAGCACTTTATCAGCTGAAATAGCATACATAGGGTTCTGTTCCTCTGTGAGTGCCTACTGAAGCCTCACAGAACTAACATGTACTAATGGAAAATTAATTACATTACTCTTTGGATCATTCTTATTAAAAGAATAGAATAGGCTGGGCAATCACAAAGCAATAAGTTTTATGAGCAGAGGTCACTAGCAGAACTCTAGAAAATTGTCAGAGTGTAATTTGATTCTTTTTCTGTATAACTTTGTGCATGCTGGATCCTGCCCCTTTGTGCCTGGTCAAAATATGTCAAAGCCAAAAGTCCCATGTGATAATGAACAGGAGAGGATTAAATCTGATTTATTTAATATACACAGTATGCAAATCATTGTTAGAAGCAAAATTCTCTCTCATTAAATCAAACCCCTTAAAAAACCCCAAACAACAGCCAAGAAAACTGGTGAAGCAGAGGAGACAGTGAGATGTACCCACCCTGAGCTCTTCTTATGAAGCTCTCTCTCAGCACAGCAGTCTGGGTACAGAAATATCTGTGCTGCTTTGTTTTGCTGTTGGTTTTAGGTCAGGCTGGATTTCAGGGCTGGTTGTTTTTAGATGCATGTCTCTCTCCTGGATTAGAACAAAGCTCTAAGGCTAAAGGTGATAAATGAAAACATTTAGATAAGTCACATGAGACTCATCTGCCTCATTTTACTATGACAGGTTTTGGATGGAAGCAGGATGCAACTTACAGGTTTACACAAGCCTACTCTTCCACAAAACTATTTAGACGTTCAATTAAAAAAATCTAAAATGAAAATATATTTCCCAACAAAATAAGCAATGAAGCTGTTACTTACATTTAATGTATGTTAGAGATGTTTACCATGCCACCCCATCTATATCAGGTATAGCCTTGGTCATTCAGATAATTTCTTTTCATGTTTGAAAGTTACTTTGCTCATTACTCTTCACTTACTGAAACAATTCGTAACTTGTCAGAGCATCAAGATCAAACATTGCAGGTATCCATACATCTCTTCCTGTGTCAAAAAGACTTCAGAACAGTTGCATGTAAGATCATGGTGCTTTAAACTTATTAACCCTTCTTAAGCCAAAATGTTTAGAATTCCTCTCATTACTCCTTATGCTTGTGCTGTCATTGTTGCTATGGGTTTTCACTACATGATTGCCAGCCAGGTTGAGAACCGGTGAATTAATTTTTTTAGTGTTTACCCCCTCGTTATTATTACACCCAGTGTGTTTCATTTCTTTGTTTTAATAAAAAAAGCTCTTTAAATAAAACTATTAGCAGAGCAAGCACCGTTCTTACAGTAAAGCAGGATGTCCCAAGTCTTTATTCTGAGGGGGAGCCCACGCTGGATGGGAGGAAGCAGAGGGAAAGTTACTGACTTGAAAACACCTTATGGCAATAAGCAATTACTCTTAAAACTCAGCTGTGGCTATTCTTTCCCAAATTCGCCCTACCTTCTCATCTGAATAATTTCTTTCTCCAGTGTAATATTCCTTTTCTATACATTTATTTTTGTGCTGGACACTGCATTACCAGATTCAGCAGGATTTAGCAGGTTTATTTGTGCATTTTGTTTTTGGTCTCTGAGAACTGCTAAAAATCAGTTAAGCTTAATATAATAAATGTGTACATTTTTAGGAAACAAATCACTGCTTGGTATCCTGAACTGGGGAGAAGTTTTGTTTTTCTCTTTCTGGGGTGATTTCTCTTTCTTTGATGAATGCAACGTGGTACTTGCCATAGTGTGACTGAGGGAAAAAGTTTCCTCCTTTTTTGGCAGATTTTTCCCTATTATCCTTGGAAATAAACGTGCTCTTAATTGTTTAATGCATTTGAATTTATTTATCCCTGTATTTCCAGTCCTTTGAACTGAATACTATTTGAATGTTTCCTGTTTCAAATAAAGAGTTTCTTTCTGATCCAGGTTTCCCACTTGTTCCTACTTTCATTTTGTTGGCTCAGTGAAGCCTTTCTTCCCTCCGTTCCCCAATCTCAGTTTCCCAGTTGGTGTTTTATCCATGTCACTGAGATTCTCTTCTTGGGTGAGATACTTAAAATCTGTCCCTGTTGTCCCCCCATAACTGTGATTCAAATCTTACTCACCAGTGGCTATTGCAACACATCTTTTGGCCCTCGTTCTCCTCTGTCCCCAGCTAGAGCTAACTTTCACTGTCCCCTCTCAAGTCTCTTTTCCATTTACGTCAGCTCTGTACCCCCTTTGATGTCTGCTTCCATTTCCCAACTCTTCTTTCCTGTAACAGTGCACTCTCTACTGTCCTTTACCCATCCTGCAGGAAACCTCCTTCCCTGCACAGCCTGAACATGAGCATGACACGGCACAAAAAGAAGCAAGACAGAATGTTTG